TCTCGCAACAGCTTTGGCTGAGAGGGAAGTTGGTCAGATGCCTCGACAAGCGACAAGCGAGGCCGAAGCCTGAAAATCAAGAACAAGGGCTCATAACACTTTGCGCTGTTTTTTCATGATCTTCATGATCAAGGAGCATTGAGGTTGGAGCCTGAAGATCCGCAGTAATAATTTTCACTGTCGAAATTTCCGATTTTGGTTTGTTTGGGATCGAGTGGAGCTCATTAGGGTTGACTTGGAAGAATCTGTAAATGGTTTATCACCCATGGACTTAGTGTTCCGCCTTTGCCAACAGTCGCTGGGCGATGCAACAATACAGGATGATACGGTCTTCAGCTTTGGATAGAACTTCGACCCGAAACCTACCTGAAAAGCACAAAACAGGACCGAACCCGAAGTTGCCCCGCTAAACATCTTTTCCAAGGCGCCTTCCGCTTCGGCGGGCGTCGTGCATCCTGCAATTGAGCAGCTTCGGTACGGAGATTCATGGCTCCTGAAACTCTGGGACTGCAATTGGAGGGCCCGTATACTACATCCTGGCCCTGTAGCACCAACGCCATGCGACCCCCCATCTGTAGCGAGCCATGCTGCAAACAACGGGAGCCCGTCACCCGCATCCAAAGCTTAAAACACCTTTGTGTCCGTCAGAATGGCAATCCTAGTCTTTGCAGACCGGCTGAGGTTTTTGTAGCTTTCTGTGTGTTTGATCTTTAGGTTTGAGGATTTGACCTCGATCTTGCTCTTAGCGCAAGGTACCGAATCCGATCCCCAGATACTGACACTCCGCAAGCCAAGAGGCAAGGAAACCTAGATCCAGGCTGTCATGCTCGGGATTAGGGATTGTAGAATCCCAGCCTCGGCAAAGGGCACGGCGGGGCCACCTCCTGGGCTTGAACCCTGCCCGGAACCCCACAAACCTAGGAAATCCGATCAGGTGCACAGGGGACGGTGACGGGAGCTCCGGGTCTCCATGTAGTCAAGTAGCTTTTGGCTAGCTTTGGCCACAAGGATCCAAGACTGGATACAACAACCGACTGCAAGATCCTGAAATTCCCGTGGCGCAGCGTTTGAGGTTCACGTGTAGCCTGCACATCTCACGATCAACGCCACATGAGTTCCTTCGGCTCGAACAGAACTGAGCACAAGCCTGAATCCCGCAAGCCAATGCCGTTCAGCCTGTAAACGTCCATTCAACCTCGAGGACTCGAATCTTGTGTGGCCCTCTTATACCTGAAGCAACTGACCAAAGTGGCAAAACCCATTCTTGAGTCCCAAGATGTGACGACGAGCATAATGCCTTGAATGATTGATTCATGGACGATGCTGACATCTTCTTGGAATCTTCTAAACTCCTAACCCTGTTCCTGACAGCCAGCTGAACGACTGATGAGGTCTGCACAGAGCCTCGAGAGGCTGGGAACAAGAAGAGGGATTCAGAACCGTTCTCAAGTCATCGAGCGAAGACTTGCGAAGCACAAACCCTCCACTGCTGCACCTGCCAGTCTGCCAGTCACGCCAAGAGGCTTCTGGGTGGGACGAATAAGGAATTTCGCAGAGATCCTCGAGGAAGGGATGAGGCATGATGATTCGATTTTGTTGAATTGAAGTGGGGCGTTTCGTCCTGCAAAGGTCAAAAGCAGGACAGGCTGCCAAAGGGAGGAGCTAGATTCAAATTTGGCTCGGAAGCGGCCAGAGGTTGCCGCTTGCCATTCCCCAAGCCTGACCCAACTGCTCTCCTTAGAGGGGCCACCCACCAACCCTAACCCCCCCCAAAAAAAAAATAATTGTGGCTTAAACACATTTTGACAACGGACTTGGAGGGAACCCTCCATCCACCCACCCACCCACCCACCCGCTCCCCGCTCCGCACCTCGAGCCGAGGCGGACGATGTGAAGCGCTTAGAATTACTGTCGGTCCCAGTTAGCTGAGGACTGAGGAACCAAGGTCCGGGTCTTGGGTACGGAGTTCGGAAACCCGAAAGCTGAATGCGCCCAGCACCTGGTCCCCTGGTTAAAAGGTCACAGCCTCGCGGCAGGACGACTGATGAACTTTGCACGGAGCCTTCATCGCAAGGAGCGGAATGAAGCTTGAGGGCATAGGCTTAAAGTTCGTTGGAGAATCACGGAGTGAGTAGCTAGGCTTGACGGGTCCAGAGCTCGATTCATAAAACCTCACTCAGGTTCTCCGTGCAAGGTAGACGGACTTGATTCATGATTCATGAAGTTTCAGACAAGGTCGCCAAACGTTTTCCTCAAAACGCGCAACAGCCCCACCCCAAGACTGCTTTGGCTTTGGCATTCCCACGTTGGCCTGCCACACCTCGAAGCTTTAACTAACCCGCTTCAGGTGATCCAAAACAAACACACCTCAAATCGAACCCCAGCTAAGATGCGAAACTCGATCAGAGAAATCAATCTGGACTGGATGCTTAAGGTTCTTATAAGCCTCTTGACACGTAGGTTCTTATGCCCAATCCATGGCGAGCCTCAATCCAAGTCCTGACTGACACCACACTGCCATGCACGACTGGCTCCATGCAAGCTAAAGCCACCAAAGTGTAGTCGTAAACTCGATGTATCTGCCTTTGGCCGCGGGATTCGCTCTGGGAATGGAAGCGGTCGCTGCAGTCCCAACGGAGCCTGCAACACGGCTGGGTGCGCGCCGGGGTTGAGGCTGGGTTTCGTGCCACTAGTGAGGACATTGCGCGGATGCTGTGCCATGGAGCGCCTCGGCCATTGGCCGCTGGATTGGCTTTGGGAATCGAAGCGATCGCGGCCAGAGAGCCTGTGGGAATCAAACCGGAGTTGCAGCCCAGGTCTTCCGAGAGATTGACTATTGCAAATCGGTGCCTGCAGCCACCTGCCTCATGGACATTGCGCACTGCTAAACCATATGAGTTTAGATTGCCTTCAAGCCGAAGGACCCGCAATCAACCTGCACATCCGAGGCTGGAAGACACTCCTATATACTCCTTGCCCCAACCCTGTAGCCCAACTCGCAGGCCAATGACAACGGTAAGGTGGAGTACCCAAACTTTGTCGGTTAGGATATTTCTGCAGCAGTGTGCCGCCCGGTGGTGTAACCCCCCGAAGACAGACATGCAGCATCGGTAGGACGAACATAATTTTCGAAAACTTCTTTTCTGGCCTAAATTGGAGCAACATGGAGCCCTGAAGCTCCAGATCCAGCAAACCCCGACACATCCGAAAGATCAGAAGCTGGACTCTGCCCGCGAGCCAAACCTTTCTTCTGAAGCCCTCCATCCTAAACTGGCATGGTCCCGAGCCTTCCTTGGCAGCATCTGCCCTGCAGGACAACAGGACAATGCTACACAGTGTTGCACAAGGCCTTGCAGATCTCAGGCGAATTTCTACCCAGTCGCAACGGGTCGCAGGCAGAAAGTTATGCACCACTTTCGGTTTTGTGTGTGGTATGGTGTGGTCCGAGCTCAGGGGGTAATGAAGCTCTTCGTTCTGCTGAGATATCTTGGTGAATGCTTGCATAACCATCTCCGACGAGCTTTTCAAAACACTGTAAGCCCAAAATCCGAAGATTCGCCATGCACCTCCCAAATTTCCGAGCTCCGGTGAGACCTATAGAACCAGTACACTCTGAACCGCATGTAGGTAGAAGTTGGCAAAGAATTGAACAAAACTCCAAGCCCCTTCCGAAGCCGAAAATCCCGAAACCTGAACCCAAAGCCAAAGCCTTCCAACCCTTGCAAATAACATGAGGGCTTCCGAAAAGAGGGGATCCTAATATAGTGCCCTAAGTAGTAGAATCCTTATTCCCCAAAAGACGGTACAGTACCCCTTAATACAGGAAGCTCCCACAAGGCTACGAGCCTTCGCTTGAAGAATTGGCATGCAGCCGCAGCTCCCACTGGGCCGTTGGGCGCCTCGGAATAATTGGAATAGGGTTTTGGGGGACATTATACCATAGATATAATGAGGAACCTCCAAAATAGTATAGGTTCATCAAGCTTGCTATACTGGTGCTGGCGGTATTGAAATAGCTGCACCTATACAAACAAGATCCACTGATTAAGACCTCCGTCGCTACCTAGCAAAGAAGATGTAGCAGTAGCATTGGTGCTGACAATGGCAAGTCTTGGTGCTGACAATGGCAAATCTTATGATCGCCGTACAAGTAAACATACCCTAAACATATTGCTATTGATAACAAAAGCCCAAACCGTTATCATTAGCAATTATCATGTTGCACACAGACTAATATGGACGAGTGACCCTTCACGTCCAGTAAACCTGAACCGTCCAAAACATCAATCCCAAAATTCACAAAACAATCAAGGCTGCAGAGACTTGCTGCTTCGACGGACCAAACACTGACCAGCAAACACCAACCCCAAAGCAGGTAATTGTTGCACCGTACGCACTGAACAAACAAATAAACCTCTGAACGAGCGACTCTTTGGCACCGTTTCTTGGGAAACTTGGGGGCGGCACCCTTCTCGGCACAGCAGGAGGGATAGAAGTCCTTTTTTGCGCAGCGTTGATTCGGACTCCAGATTCCCCAGTGCCAAACTGCGAAGAAACACTATCATTCAGGACGTCACCACTCGCAACTCCATGAGAAAGCGAAGCCCCTCTGCAAAGAGACGACAAAATGCAAGAAGCTCTGTCTCTGTTGAGATGCTTTTGCGGGTCTGGGCTGATTTAACGTCTCTGAATGCGGTTGTAAGCGGATGTGTGTGGGACATGGTCATACCGAGGGATCAGCTAGCATCATAGAACCCTGCACGGCAAAGATTTCAGGATTGAAGATTGCATGAAGCTCTGCAGCAGATTGCTTCAGTTTCGACCGGTTGAGCAATCCTGACTCTCCATGATGGAACAGAAGTTAATACTGCGCAGCCACCGCAACACACATGACAGCCTGCTTCCCTAGCTGCTGGGATCTACGCACTCCTGCCGTGCACCTCTGGGGGCTGCAGACGAAAGCGATGTCTCCACAGGCCAAAGGCTCACTGCTGATTATCTCAACAACGAAATTTGCACCCTCTCCTCGGCTGGGGTGCAAACGAGGCATGTTCCAAAGACAGCTCCTCCTCTGCGCAGCATGAAGGTTTTGATGCTTTGCCAAATGAAGTGCGGCGAAAACAGCAAAGCAAATCTCAAGTCATCTGCAGAACAATTCAGCCGGCGACATCACCGAGAGCCCCGACGAAAACCTGTTGCAACATCCCCAGACAGAATCGGCCTCCTCAGGAGGTGGCTCGCCGTCTTCGCCCAACACCTCCTCACCCAGTTCCCTTTCCTCTTCTTGGAACTCCTCAGCTTCCCACGGCTGGTCTTCAACCTCACCCGGAAGTTCCTCAGTCTCGTCTTGGCATAGCTCGAATGCCTCCCCCGGCTCTTCCCCCCAAGCATCACCCTCCGCCGTCGCTTCTGCGGAGTCCTGAGAGGAAAGCAAGGCATGTGGTTGCTGGCCTGGAGTTCAAAGTTGCAGCAACATGTCTGCAGGTGTTGACGCGCAGGTGCCTTCGAAGATGCAAGCCCCACAAGCCAAACCCATACTCAGGCCCAAGCTGACTCGAACCCTGAAAAACGTGAAGCCTACCAGCTCTCTAGTGGCGGTGTGGGAAGTGGCTTGCCGTAGCTGCGACCGAAGCTCGTCCGCACGAGCATACATGCTTGGGGGAAACATTTCGGAGTTGTGGCTTGCCAATGTGCTCTGGCACTCGAAAACCGAACCGTAAGCTTGCATTGTTGGCTTTGGTGTGTCGAGCGAGCGCCCCCACCAAACGCTCACAATTGCCACCGCACACAATTGCCGGAGCTGGTTCAGAGCTGAGGGTCCTCTCACGCCCACAAAACTAAAGCTGACTTAATCATGTGATGCCTGCACAGACGTCCAAGCCACCAAACGACAAAGCAGCAACCCCGAAGTTCAACATGCAGCTGATGAGCTTCGACACGATGTGTGTGTGTGTGTGCTACTCCAGCAGCTCAATAGCTACAACAGCGCAACACTAAACGTTCAACAGGTTGAAGATTAAACAACGAATTTGAACGCAACAGTTTTCGAACGAATGCTGCTCATGAAGTTCCACAATTGCGACTGACTGAAGTGTTTCAGCGCTGCCGATCACAGCAAACGCTGAGCTTGCTATCTTCAACTTCGAAACTTTTCAAGCTATTCGAGGTGGTTTAAGCTGCTTGATTCACTCATCGCGAACTCTGCTGGCAGCAACCTCCCATGTTTCTAAATTGACTCGGCCTGCCTGAACCTCATTCAGCAGCCGATGCGTTTCAGGTACTCTTTGATCGCTCGGCGATGATTGCCGACCTTTGGAACACAGCTGCCAATGCCCGGAGTACTTGATGTTTTGAAGCCTCTCCACCGACCTAACCGTTTGCCCTTGGGCCGAGGGGAGACAGCAAGATTCTCCAACTGCATCTTGAAGGCGAAGTCACCAGCCCACATACCAACAGCTCGGCATTAACTCCTGCTAACTTGGTGCTTTAAGCGAGGCTCTCGCTCGCGAGATCAGAACCGTGACCAAGACAGTCATGAGACAGGTGAAAATGGGACTCTTGAATACTGACTGGACAAAACACAAATGCAGCAGATCCAATGTGACCGATTGTGTCTTGCCAATTAGCCAATTTGTGATGTCAACTTCCCGGAGTATACAAAGCGGCAGTCCCCGCAAAGCTCAGTACTAACGCGAAAGTCTGTGCAACGGCTGTGCCACTCGGACACAAGCCTGCAGCTGAAAGAGTCGCCCTCAGCAACGTCAACATTAAAACCATCATCAGTATCGCCTCAAGTTGTCGTACTGTGCGGAAGGTCACGTTCAGTCGAAGTCTTATGACAAAGCCGCGCCTGCAAACACGAACTGGGGAATGCGAAGGCTTTTGCCAGCATTCTGGATTTCGCCAGCTTTCGCCTCAAGCACGGGCCGAAATCTTATAACGACTAGGTGAGGGCTTTATGATGAAAACTTCTAGTTATTCCACTTGGACCTTGCAGGACCCCCAGCCGAAGCTGCGGCCTCGCCTCCTTCCAGCAGGGACCACATCTCGCACACACGGGCTTGCCTGCCAACAATGCGACAGGCACCGGGGGTTGTGAAAGATGCATCGGATGCAGAGCGAACAGGGTTTGGGGAAGGTTGCAGAGAGCACATGCAGGTTGCAAGGAGGCACGTAGAAACGGCTTCCGACTGGTTTCAACTCTTTGGGGTCGGGCCTGTGTTCGACAGCCCGAAGCGTCCGATGGAGTCGAAGCTCACCATCTGCAGCTCTAGTCTGGGAACCTTTCGAGCTCTCAAAAGTTCACAAACCGACGGCTGAGAAAGCAACAAAAATTGAAAGGCATCACCAAATTTCCGAAATCCAGGATCAACAGGAAATCCAACGCTGATCATGGGAGGCGCGTGTTTCTAGAGACTGGATTGCTGAATGTCGAAATTCAATCAGCGCTCAAAATAAAGTGACAGTAGTAATTGTAGTCATAGAAGTCATGGTGCGTAGGTAGTCTTTGGTGGTAGTCTTTGGTGGTGGTGGTGGTGGTGGTGGTGGTGGTGGTGGTGGTGGTGGTGGTGGTGGTGGTGGTGGTGGTGGTGGTGGTGGTGGTGGTGGTGGTGGTACCGGTTCCACCTGCCTTGGCATGTCAATGCAAGACGAGAAGCGGCAACCTGAAGAAAGCCTTGAAGCTTCGACCAGAAAAAGTCCTCACTGGACTCGTCCAGCAAAGTGTAGTTGAAGTAGTGATGACCTCAGTGGGTTCCACACTGGGCAGGTGTGGTTACCACACATGCCAAGTTGTGCTAAACCTGAATGCTGATCTCAGCAGCCCGTCCCGAAGCCGCAAAGCCAAAACCCGGTTCAGGGTTTAGAGAAGATCAGGAAGATGTGGTGAGACCCCAACTGTTGATATCGTCATCATGGTAATGCTTGCTGCCGGTGCTGCGACGACAGCGACGACTTGTACTGTTTCGACGACGACGCTCATGTGGGTGGTGAGCGTGGTGTTCTCGTGATGCTACTATTCTCACTATGCTTCAGTACTTGGGCAAGAAGTTGACAAACCACGGAAGCAACATGAGGCGAGAGCCGCGTCAATGAAACTGTGTTCTGGCATGTCGGGTTTGGTGGTACCTGATGCATACATGCCTGAACGGAAACAGACTAGGCTTCTCTGCCGTTGGCAAGTCAGGCCCCGGCCACTTTTGTTTTTCTTTTTGCGTCCCCTGTCTGAGTCGGCTTTTTCATCGGGAACCTGGCTACAAAGAGATTGGTCAGTGTGCCACTTCAACCAATAACGACATTCAAACATGTGCAGCACACTAACAATCGGCAGATCCAATGGACTTCGTGTCACACACCCCTACCCCCGATCTGGGCACCAGCTGAAGGCTTGCCATGAGAAAGGCGTTCATGAGATGGCTTGCGGTACCACAGACGACGTCTACTCGCCAGACTTGCCGCACTTGCCCTTGACTATACCGAAAATCATGGAATGTCAACTATGCACATGGGACAGCGACAAGAAATGCTCGCTGAAGGGGCCTCGAAGAGTTGCACGATGCTATCAGAGCCTTTCTTGATGCTTTCGTCCTGCAGAAGTAAGTGTGTTGCCAGAATCACGGGCGTTTCGAAAAAGCCCCAGGAAGCTGCGTGTATTCGCCTTGCATGTCAGTCAAGAAACTCTCTTTCCCGTCCCCACGAACCGTTGAGTTTTACCCTGAAGCCAAAACGAGACTGAGCCCGTTGTGCCTGCACGTGGTGGATGATTGCATTCACCTTGCAGGGCGGTTCGGCTTCCACGGGAGCGCAGCACTGGACCCGAGCCCAATCTGCGATGATGGCGACTATGATGATGGCATGGTGCTGGTGGCACTCGCAGTGCCTGTCACGATGGCCATGATAGTCGAGGTAGCTGGGACCAGCTATGGCACAATTGGTGATGGGGCCGGTTGGGATCGTTGCAGTGCTGGCGGTGGTGTTGGGTGCTGGTGGCGGTGATGTAATGAAATTGGGCCAGTGGACAGATTCACTTAGCTCTTCAGATCCATGATCCACAGCATCTCAGTATCTCATACGGTCATCATGCTGCATACTTCGCTATGTCTCGTGACTGTTGCTGTTGTTTTTTATTTGACCTGCAATTGCTCGCTCTACTTCTTCTCCACTTATTTTAAGCAGCGCTATCAAACAAATGCATAGAGCCGATATCATCATGCAGCCCAGGCAGCATCTCGGAAGCTTGACATCGAGTCTTTCCTGGCGCAGATAGCATAATTACACGAAGCTGTCTCGTTGTTGCAGATAGAGATGATGAGCCACTACACCATACAAATCAAAAGACAATCTACGAACAAGACTAGACCAGGAACGCAACATACAAGACAGCTTTCTGCCGAGGGTCCTCGCGTGCATTGCAAGAACGACTGGCACGACGCTCAGCCTTGTTGCCACCTGCCGGCGGGAAACGAAGACTACGTCCGCATGGAATGGACTCTAGCATGCCGGGCTTCATCAAACTATTGAGGAATTTCCGACTTGCAGCGCGCGGTCTTGCCTCACATTATTTTGGAGTTACTGTTTGCAGGGCTCCCTTTTGCCTCCAGCTGTTGCACAGTTTTGTGTCACGCTATTGGAGAAGTACAATCCGCAAAGCTTCGTTTTGCCTCAGGCTACTGGGGATATAGACTTTGCAGCTCTAGGCATATGTGGAGCGGTGATGTTACAAAGCGTAAGTGGCCGCCAATCTTCCAGCGTCATGGCTTGGCTCGGCAGCAATGCAAGGGTTTGCCCCCTCCCCCCCGGGACCACCTCCAAACCCCGAAACCGTTAAACCCCAGATCGAAAAGGAGACCTTGTAAGCCCGCCGATCCGTACCTGCCGAAGGAAGAGTTCAAATCGCTCCCCTGCTCGCGGCTGTGGCGCATCGTACATCTCGCCTGCAATCTTTCATCTACTTTAAAGCACATAAGATCAGAGTGTAGGCATGCAGGCCTCCCGTTTTTGCTCTCCCTCCCTCCTTCTCGCCCTCTCGCCCTCTTGCCCTCTCGCCCTGGCTCTCGCTCTCAGTCCCTCTCTCTCCCTCTCTTTTTCTCTCTCTCTCTCTCTCTCTCTCTCTCTCTCTCTCTTCCCAAGCATGGAGGCGGGTCAACGCCCCCGGGCTTGAAAGCCCACCCATTCGCATTTGGCACGGCCAAGGGCCAAGGGGGGTGAGAAACGAGCGTAACTCATCGGAAAGCTAAAGCCGCTAAAGCCCTAGCCCTAAATTATACGATAGCGGACAGAAGACACGTGTACGCTCTCAGTACTGTGGCTACGAAGTGTTTGAAGGAGGGCAAATCAAAACGAGGGGGTAAGCTCAGGAGGATTCGGATCCCCTTCAATCATTTTACGAAATTTCACAGAGGATAGCAAAAGCACAATCGGTCAAATTTAGCTTCCCCCGCTTATGCATTGAGCGAAGTTGAACGATGGCGGAGCGGTTGCCTATCAGGCACTGACTGCAACTGCAACATGCAGCGAATTACAAGTCGAGTTGACAAGTCACTTGTGGGATAGTTTCTCACAGACATCTGGGGTTTGCATCAAGTTCTTGGGTGGGTAGCCTGGACCACCATTGAAAAGGTCACTGGGCGGCGCGGGTTGCAAGCTCCCCCGACAAGGAGCAAAGGTCTGGTTGTGCAAAGTGGGGCTTCCAAGCAATGAAAGAAGATACCCTCAGTAACCAAAGAACAACACACCATGACTTCATCCCCCCTTACACTTGGAGTCTTGTGCACACGAAAAGAGCTGCATACGACCACGAACCATATCCAAAAGGTTTGCATTTGGTCAAGATGCTTCAGGGCCTGCATGGCTGAGGCAGCATCGGTTGCACGCTGCATTAGCGCCGTCAAAGCCAAACGATGGACCTGTTGCTCACCCCGTGCAAGCCTGGCATCAAGCCCAGATGTGGCAGACTTCTTCAAGGAACAGTGCCATGATCTGGCGCAGCTGCCCCCAGCCGCTCAATATCTTTCCGTGACATGACTTGAAAGTTGCCAGTAGCATACGAGACCATATGCTCCCGTAGATGGCCGGGTGTTTCCTGGGAGGCACGTGACTGTCGCAGATAGCCAATACTCTCTGTCGATAATTCGGCAGCATCCAATACCTCCTGCACTCTAGCAGCCAATTGCCAATGGCCCCTCCACCCTTGAGCTGGCTGTGCGCATGGCTGACAGCAGTATGCCCGTTCGTGTCCGCAGCTCAGGGTACAACGCAGCTAGGAATTGTGGGGATGCTGCCAGATGTTGCCCCGTTGTGGCTAGAACAGGGTCCTGACGCCCCATTCCAGCTGTGCCTAGTAGGGCCTCCACGCTGCGTCCAACATACTTGCACAAGTTTTCGGTCCCACTGTCCTGCTGCAGGTCATTCGACTTGGCCAGCATGCACACCAAGCCACCAAGCCTGGCCAAGCAATACGCCTCTGTCAAGGCGCGATGGGTGAAGGCATCGTAAAGCAAGCCAAGATGGAATGCAACACGGCCATGCTCCGTAATCAGCAGAGCCTTGATGTCCTCCAAATGGTGGAGCAACATCTGGTTGTGCAGGTTGTTGATGTCAACAAATTCTGCCGGCGCTGCTTGCTCTAGGATAGGCAGTATTGCTTCCAAGAACTCCCAGAAAGTTGCCGGTTGGGTGACATCCCTGAGTGGACTTGCTCCATCCACTGACACATCAACCAGCCGGACCACTATGTCAGAGGGCCTGTAACCCTCGAGCAGATACGCAGCCGCACCGGGTTGTATGGCATCAAAGAGAGTCACGTAAATGAGTACTGCACGGTTGTGGGTGCTAGAATGTGTGGAGTAGGTCGTGGCCAACATAGCTGCAAAGAGGAGTTGAGGGGTGCGACAGAAGCACTTGTCACCACCTGCGCTGTAAGCCTTGGTGCCTGGCCGAACTGCTGTGGTGTTGGTGCAGCTATGTTGGTTGGCGCTGCGGCAGCGGTCTTTCGCACATCAAATGCACCAGACAGCTCGATTGCACGTGCTGCCAGGATACTGGAGGAGGACTCACCAACGCCATGGGCGGTCGCGAAGACATCCCCTGTTGCTGTACTTCCATTTTTAACCAGGTGGGGCTAAGCACAGAGTTTGTGGTGACGCAAAAATAGCGCTGATAGGCTTGTTGCAAGTCGTCTTGAGCCAAAATGTCTACGCTCTCCCTCTCTCCCTCTCGCCCTTTTGCCCTCTCGCCCTGGCTCTCGCTCTCGGTCTCTCTCAGTCTCTCTCTCTCTCTCTCTCTATTTCTCTTTCTCTCTCTCTCTCTCTCTCTCTCTCTCTCTCTCTCTATCTGTCTCTCTGAACGGTCTGCGAGCAGACTCGGGCCTAGGCCCCCCCCTTCCTGCTTTGGCGGTGGAAGGACGCTCCAAGGCAAGTTCCTTCGACCCTGCACCGTACGCATCACCCCCTCGTAAGCTGACATGCTTGAAGCAGCCCCCTTTCTTGCAGTGCAGAACCAAGAGCTGAGTACCAGGCCAAGCAGAACACAGTACGACGTCACAAGAAGCAAAGGGCTTGTGCAGGCTTGCTTCCCCCCGAGCTGAAAGTTCCCTATCAAGGCTCCTATTGAAAGCTGAGGTTAGTTGCCGGCGAGACTCAGTCAGAATGTGAATTGGATGCAGTCGGTGCATGGTTGGGGCATACGGCCCCGTTTGGTAATTAGTCGGAATGGCTCCAGCGGCCCGTCACAAATTAGGCTTAGCATCGTAAGCACATCCAAAAGGCAAAAGGGACCTCACATATGCGAGGTCAGGACGGCACGAAAATTTTCCCCTCACACTCACTGCTTGTAGTTCACGACGTGCTCTCCCCTCCCGTGCTCCCCGTCGCTCCATGTTGGCTCCGGTGACGTCGCATGTGCTGTTGTACTTGTTGCACTTGCCACTGTAGGTTTGGGACCAACCGCAGGCTTTGTCCCCCGGGTGCACCTTCTGGTTCGTTGGGTCTCATCGCACCCATTCGGCGCTTGTGCGGTGGTTCCCCCTCTGGCTCATTCGGTCTTTGCGACCAAGGTGCACACAGTGGATCGCCAGCTCGGTCCCCCTCCTCATTGGCACTGTCCTTGGTGTCCGCGCTGGCTGGTGTGGTACTCCCCCAGTCGACTTCCTCGTTTGGCTCCGGCTCGTCGCGCTGGGCTTCTTCACTCAAGCCGGCTGCCTGTGGGGTCGTCTCACTTGTTGTCCGCCCCGCCCTTCTCGCATCTGTGTCTTCTTCGTTCTTCGGCGGTCTCTTGGTGGCATTTGCTGAACTGCTTCCCCTCGTGGCGGAGGTTGCTGTCCCCCGTCTCGCCTTGATCAGGCGTCTTATGCGACGGGCTTTGTCAAGGAGTTTCTTGATCTCCCCCGGGAAGCGGATCATGTAGGCTCGCGTTTCTTGTGCAACGTGCGGAAGGTATTTGTCGGCTATCTTAGCCAACTGGTCGGCCTGCTTTGCTGTTTGGCACCTTGCTCGGTGCCTTTTCCGGAACTGCTTGAACTCCACTTGCTCGCTCTCAGTCAAAGGTTGTCCTGAACGACCATGGCGCCATCTCCCATCTTACCCGTCATCTTTGACTACTTCACGGTCCGCCCACTTGTCGAGAGGTCCAGGCAGGTAGTGCAGAGCGATCCCCCCTGGGGTCACATAGGTTGTCATCTGCTCAAAGGGGACTTGTTGTAGTCTGGTGCTGTCTCCTTGTTCCCCTCGTCCTGGCCGTGGTTGGCTTGCACGCCCCTGCCATTCGAGTGCACTATGGGTTCGTTCCCCCGTGCCTCCGACCCGTAAAACCTGCATTGCGGATCAGATCTCTCGTGGACCTTTCTCATGCCCTGCTGGCACAGTCCTCCTCCTTCTCTGCATATTCTGCAGATTTTCTTGCCTCCCCCACCTCTTTTCCCCATGTTCTTCACTATCTTCTCGGCCTTGCCAAAGTCACGATCTTCCGGTACTCAAACTCCCCCGCCCAGCGCACAGGATGATCTCGCGATGCTCGGCGGTCTTTCCCCGAAGGTCGTTGGTGCAGGCGATTTCCCCCTTCGTCTGTAAAGCGTCCAGGAGGAGTCCCTTGCAGTCCCTAGGTCGTCGCACCGCAGGTAATGTCACGTACTTGCCGGTCACCTTTATGGCTCACCCCCTCAGAGCTAACCTGGTTTCCTTAAGCAGTGTGGCGTCGGGTATGCGACTCAAGCACCGCTGGGGAAAGTGCTCAAGCTCCCCCAAGGTGGACAGCCTTGGGTCAACCTCGCACCTCCCCCCCGATGCAAGGAGGCCGCACAGGCCCCCGAGCAAAGGTGCAGCACTTGAGCCAAAATGGTCTCTCTCTCTCTCTCTCTCTCTCTCTCTCTCTCTCTCTCTCTTTTGTCTCTCCACACACACACACGCACATTCACACCTACAGACATACATACATGAATACATACATGCATACACCTGCATACATACATTAACTAAATACAATGTTGCATTAATTTGTATTATGTTGTGTTGTATTATATTGTAGTATGTTGTATTACATTATATTCTACTAGGTCATGATATGTTGTACCCTAAGATCAGACGAGAGGAGATGAGATAAGGCACGTACATGCATACGTACATACCCACATATACAAACACATAAATACATACATGCATACATATATACGTACATACGTAAACACATAAAAGCATACATACATGCCACATGCTTGATTGCTGTCTACGCGTTTGCTTACTTACCGGTTTTTGGTACAGTAGTAGGAATGTGTCTCAACACCGAGGACATGGTCATTTTGTCGCCGGCCTTGGGGCTCCAAAGTCCCCAATCCATACCCGGCAACGGAAACCACCACATCAAAGACGTCCTTGGCTGGGCTTCTCGTTCAGATTCACACGCCCCAAATAGGTCGTCCGAAGCTCCTGCTGCAAGCGAAATGCAGAAACTGAAAAAACCGCATGCCAGGAAGGTAGGGTCTTTATCATAACAAACTCCCCAGACACTCTTGCTACGTTATCGCCACGGCGCAGGAGACATCGCCCCGAGCTGAAAGGCACCAAAGCCACCCATGCTGTATCTGAGCACTGCGGCGGAGCTTGCCAGCACTCCAAGTTTCCGTGGATATGATGATTACGTGCGGACAAGCCACCCCATCACCAAGGTTCTCTCTGCTTGAAAGATGGATGCGATCTCACTGATCTTTGCAGTGAGGTCGCGCAAATAGTCCTGAACGCACTAGTGAGACCAACCTCTCAGCCTGCAATGCCCGATCACAAGCTACTCCGGTCACACAGCCAGCTACATCTGAATTTTGACAACACGGCAGCATGCAGAAGTCCAGATGCAGCGAGCCGAAGACGTAGCCTGCCAGCAAAAGCCCAAAAGATGCTTGGGCAGTAACATGATAACAGTGATGATCATTGTCAGTCTTTGTTGTTCTCATAGCCGCACAGCTCTGCCATCTTCCACTGGAGGGCGGGAAAAGAGCAAAGGCTTCCTTGCTGTTGTTCTGAGTAGCATTCTGATTTTCACATGAAGGAACCTCCTAGGAATTGACACCTCAAAGCAGCAGGTAAATGAACATGTGAGAATGCAGCAAATGCCTAGCTGCTTCTTGTTGTCGCTCTTGGTGAAGCAGCACCCCCAGTTGAAGTGCCAGCCATCAGCAGTCGTGTTTGGGCTCTTTGGAACCTTGATCGCCATTGGGCAAATGCACTGTTCTTGCAACAAAAGACCCAAACCAACACATCAGCCTCAAACGCCAACCGAACTATCTGTTTTTGAAGCGGCACCATGAAAATCACGCGGCGGTTCATTCTAGTCTGCATCGTCCGCAGGTACGCTGGCTCGATCATGCCGTTGTCCTGCATCAGGTCGCAGGATGAAACGGCAAAAGCAAGACAGCAGTACAGATTTGAGATGTCCGAAATCTGCGGAGTGCCGAAAATTGTTGAAGCATCGGCAATATGTTTTGAGGCAATCAAACGGCCGAAACGACGAAACACGGAGCACATAACCCTCGACCCAAGCTGACGGGGTCCATGCCGTGCAGCCAGACGAACAGGTAGGGGGCTTCGCGCTTGCCATCCTCCTTCAGCCCAGCAATTGCCTCGTAGACCTTAGTGTAATAGTTGTTTCGCTGGCCTCTCACATGATAGGACACCATGGAACTCGCGACTTGCTGCATGTTGAAACCCTGGGAACGAAGATCTTTCACAAGGCCTGGCCTTGTACTGTGTCTTTCCATATCCCTTGCCTCCACAAGGCACATTGCACGAGTTTGGCAAACAAAAGGCGTGCTCAACATGGTACCAGGAATCTGTGCCAGGCTCTTCCGACAGTCTATGCTTAGAGTTGCTACTGCCGCGTGCAAACTTTCCGAAAGGCTATTCCGAAGCTCGTAGAAGTCCCTGCCTTCAAGCGTCGCTTCCACGATGAGGCGGACCCCATCAGCGCTGTGCTTGTTTTTCATCGCATGATTAAGTTTTTGCTCAAGAGCTCGAGTGCAAACCTCAAGATTTCTGACTCTGGCAAAAACCTGCCTTGTTACCTTCAATTCGTCAACCCAAGAAATATTTCTATCACTGTTTCGTGCTGGATTCGGCGGACTTGCAAAATCTGGTTTGCAAATAGTTCTCAGGGCGGCATTGTTTCTGTACAACTCGGTTCTTGCTTGGCCATTCCACTGCGTCGCGACGATACTTAGGTCTCTGGAGCCAAGTGAGTGCAAAGATGTCTGGAAAGAGGAATCAAACAGCACTTTCGAGTCGGAGAGTAGACCCAAAACCGCTCGGAGCTTCTTGGACGCCTTGCTTCAGCTTCCGAAGGCTACTGCTCAGGAATCAGCAACGATGCATTGCGAGAACACGGGACAGCCGTTTTTGGAGCACGCCCACACAAATAGGCTTGTCAGCCAGCAGGACAACGAACGGGCTTCGGGATGTGGAAGCCCTTCTTGGCCAACTCCTCCAACTTTTTCAAGCTCAGCTGTTCTCTCGACGTTGTGGAGAGGATCATCTCCTCGAGCACAGGCAGGAGGTCGTCCGGAGATTGGTTCGGAGCTCCTTCTTGCGGCTGCCTTGCAACGTGCTCCGAGCCTTGGTTCCACAAGTAAAGCTATGCCCCCGAATCTGCGTCGGGAAGCACTCGCATTCTTCCCAATCAGTCCCGAAGTCTCCCCAAACCCTAAACCGTATGCGCCAAAAAAAAAAAGGAAACCCTGACTAACCACCGTAAACACTAAACATAAATTCTTCCCTGAAAGCCCTCAGCGTCCCCATGTGGTATTTGGTCCTAAATCCTGAACCCTGAACCCCAATCCTAAACCCGACCCCAAACCCTAACTGCACCAACCTTCCCAGCTGGGTTACTGGCCGCTTTTACCGGGACCTGCTGGCAAGTTCGCAGGATTCAAGACACTGAGGAGGCTCATAAGTTGGAAGCTTCGGGACAGAGCTCAACATAGCGCATGCCATTGGTAGAAACCTAGTCTGCAACGATATTGAGGTTCCCATTGGCTGGACTGAAGAGCATGATTCGAGCTGAGACAACTATGGAATCCCTGAACTCATTCCTGGGCTGGGCTTGCTTGGGGACCCCTGCTACGACCTTTGACAACTTAACGGCCTCAAGCTTGGCAAGAGATTCCGAAGAATGCCAAAGCGGGGTGTGCCAGATTGGTTCAAAGGTTGTGCTCGTGCTCCGGCTGTGGCCGCTCAAACCCCACTCACTGACGAACCGAACTCCTATGCCCAAAGACCTCGACATGATGAAACTACACGGAGCTGTAAGCCCCGTAAGGATTGAAACGCGGATGAAGCTGCACAAATTCGAAACATTTCCTGACAAAGGATGCCCCATGCTTTGTGCCATTGCCTCACACTCCTTCCTCGGGGAAGTCGTAGCCTTGGGTTCTCCTGCAGAGTTTGTGCGATTTAGTTCGGGCGTCGGGGTCGAGGGCTTTAGGAATTTGGGACTGCTGACGGAGGTGAATGGTTGAGGTTTCGGTTTTGGGGGGGATTGGGCTTTAGGGCTCCAGCTTGGGATTCAATGGGAGAGGGGACTGAGAGTCAGGGTTTCCGGATTAAGATTTCGATTCCGGACGGCTTTGAACATCTTCGGTCTTCGCACGTGTGCAGCGACGTATCTGAACAAAACCTGTCTGCTGCACCCCAACTGGCTCCCTAGCTCAGGTCCCATTAGCCTGCCCTCGCCTCAGCTTCTTCAGCACCTCGCACAGGTCAGCAGCATACTTCAGCGGCGACCACACAACCTCAAGCTTGAGATTTCAGCTGTGGTACGACATCAGCCAGCACTCCAACAGGCTCCACCCTCTACCACAATTCCAGCCCTCGCTCTCAACGAACTCCCGCGGTGAAAACAGTAAACCAAGTGCGTGTTCTACAAACGGTCTGCTGCGGGGTCGAGCTGCGACCGGCTCACTGGATGGACATGTCCAAAGGATGAACCTGACCTGCCCGAATGAGCTGTGTCTGGAAGTTGAGTCACATCTGGCCATTGGCTCTGAACTGTGAGGGTTGGAGGATGTGGGCCTACGCTGGGGCACCATCACAGGGTTTTCATTAGCTTGCCCGTGAACTGGCTCCGAAGGTGTGCGCCAAGGCCTTCAGTTCTCCCACGCGAGACATGAAAGCCCATCAGCCTTGTGCAGAAAGGTCCGCTGGCAGCCGAGATTAGGGTCTTCCGCTTGGCGATGACGCCAGTACCTGAATCAGCTTGCGGTTAAAGCTTAAATGTGGCTGCGAATGCTTGATGCAAGGGTGCACACACAGCGGCCTAGTAGTTCTTATGCAATACGACAGGTCCAAAGCCGTTCAACAAAACTCAGATGTTGCAGATTTCGGGTGGGAGATTTCAATTCTACCCAATGCTCCCCACTCAAGGCAAGACGCTGCCGATCGCCGACCAGAGGCATGCCGAGGTACTCCTTAGTACATCAGCCAAGATGTGCTGGCTTCACCACACTCAACTTCGGTAGTTGCGGCCGATATGAAAATTGTTCAAGCTCAAGTTGGCAATCGACATCCTCGGGTTTCAGGATCAGAACGGGTTAACCGGCGAGGCACCATATGCACCCGGATCTGATGAGTTCGTCCGGTCAGCAGCCGGCAGTGCAGCAAAGTGTAGCGCGCCTGAGAACAGAAGCGCAGGTCTGAGTGCTGGAGCTCTCAAGAGTCAAAGAACAGACTGGCACAACCCTGGATGTGCCTGTCAGGAACCCACCTAAGCTGATTTACTGCAGGCGTGGATCGAAATCCGGATGAAGCACATCCCTAGCGCGCTACTGTGCGATGTTTAATGCGGTCCAAAGCGATGGTGGTCTCCGTTTCGGGCTTCTTCCTTACTTCCTCCGTCCTGTCCGAGTACTTCGGGTCCATGGCCGCAGATTTCTATCTGCTTCAAGAAGAGCCCCCAAAGCCCCATATCCAGGCTTTAGCATTGATTATGAGGATCGACTTGGGTGCAGAGTTGATTTGGTATACTTTTTGGTTGGTAGTGCTTTCTTCGGGTTTGGCTCCCTGTACTTACAAGGAACACCTCTGTTTCACTTCGCTTCAGCACTGGATCGCTGGCTAACTAGGTTGGCCTTGCGATCTCGACTCTCATACTCGGCAATGCGCTCGTAGAGAGTGGAGGCTGGCTGCCCGTTCCTGATGAGGCTTCGGGATTTAGGCACACACCAAGAAAGTCAGAAAGATGACAGCTCGCGGGAGCCAGAAGACTCTGTTCCCACGGCGCCAGGCAGCAGCTAGCCCTTGACTCCTCATGTCAATTTCCAAGCCCGAGGCTGTTTCGAGGGTGAAAACTGTAAGCTTGAGGCTCAGATAGAGTTCTCAAAACTGCATGCACCTGTAGCGAAATACACACACCATTCATCTTCGAACAATCTACCTGCGACCGTTGACTCAGAAGAGGTCAGTGACCAGGCCCACCAATTCCGAAATGCAAACCTGCGACAAATCCAACATCCCCGACTATTAGCAGCGAGCCCGCAAAACCTCACAGCTTCTGCACCAGGATATGGCAACCCAGTCTCTCACTGATCTCACATCGTCGAGTCCACTCGTACATGGATCTGTCGACCGGAGCCTCAACGGCACTATTGTCCGGAGCCTCTGCAACTTTGGGCTAAGCCTTGAAGGCAACAAGACCTTTACGAGAAATTAGTACCAAGCACTGGTTTGGGTTTGAAGTTTACACTCTGGGTTGTAACAGTGGCGCTAGGTCTGCTGACGCTCATCCTCAAACAATGTTGGAAGAAACGGCATCTCTAAGAATGAATTTTCCTGACAATGCCTGAGATTCCAGAAAGCCAGTACATCCTAGCAATTGTTGAAGTCCAACTGCCCCCAAGCATAACGCCGTCATTCCTGATGGTAAAGCCTTGCCTGGATGAGGCCAGTAGGCCCATGTCCGTGCAATGCGTCCCGCCCGAAGGTGCCATGGACCTGATCTTGTGGCCAAGGGTCTCGAGACCCAAAGTTGTTTCGAACTTGCGGCTGAGGCTGCCTACACGGTGCATGCATGTATGCAACTGGCAAACTGGTCACTAGATTAAGATACAAAAGCATCATGTATAACAACCGCATCATACAATCACAATCCTGCTACTTCTGCTTGGCAGGCAGGATCTAGAGCTTTGGGTGACTAAACGTTCGTGGGGTTTGGAAGCTTGTTCGCCTCAAGGTTGAGCTTTCTTGTCTTCCGATTGACGGGGTCCAAACATCATGATTTGTTCCGCACAATTGCAGAACATGCTAGCTATGCGAGCAGCTTTCCAAGTCTTTGTCCTCCCTTTGCTTGGGCCTTGTCTTGGGTAGACGTTCTACACTCTTCTACGCATGCAATCTAGCCCACACCAACACATCTTGTGGCTCCCAGTGAATCCAATGCTGAACGAAGGACGAGGGCGAGGTAGTCTCGCTGGTACTCCTGATTCACAATCTTCGTCTTGGCAAAGTCAAAGCCTTGGCGGCAACACATGATGCAAGGAGCTGTGAACGAGGATCACAAGGCCAGACATCTTTCAGATTACCAACTACCCCAAGTCCCAACCCCAGGCCCTGCCTTCGTCCACATACGTTCTTCCACGAAGCCATTCGGAGTCATCCAAAGTCTAGATCCCTAAACTATGTGTGATTCTTCACGCCCAGAAGCCAATCTGGTTCTTGGCAATCAGAAGTGGACCAGATGTGCCCTGATCCAGCCTGGCACACTCTTGCAAATGGCTGAGGGCTGAGAACTGCATCAAGGACTATGAGCTCACGTATTAAAAACCCTTTAACTTTACTATAATCTTTGCCATCTGCTTGTCAACACTCTTGATTACACCTGCTTCGTTCGGCTGTAGCACTTATGGGCTCCCTTTCAAGGTTGGAGGTGGGGCTGATTCGTCTAGCAGACATCACGCTGCAGCAACCAAATGCTGACTCTTTGGACTTCGCACATCGCTGAATCTGAAGTGTTCCGGAAACATCGCGCGACTCTTTGCAGCACGACTGGGCAGCTCGTCTTGGAGTCGAGGATGATGTAGAAGGATGAAAACCAGCAGCAAAACCAAACCGCTCAAGGAATAGCACAAGAAGCCAGAACAGTTGCCTACAAGCAGTCGACAGAGAACGTTGCAAGAATCAAAGCAAATTAAACTCTCTGAAAGCATTTCGAGGCTTGAGCTTTCATGAGCAATGGGGTCGGAGGTTCGGCCGCGGCCCCTCACACATGACACGGTCCCAAAAACGCGATGTAACAAGTGCACACCAGACGTGAGTGAATCATATTAGTGTCTCTGTAATTGAAATTCAGCGTTTGGACACCAATGCCGAAACCTGCAAACGTTACGGCTTCATGGGTTCAGTGACCAAAGCTGCAGGGCACTGACCTTGAGGTTTGCTGTAGTGTTTCGGATCAAACCCCAACTCTCATAATATTGGGCGTCTCCACAGCCCATCACCCCTCCACAGTCTAAAACTAACTACCCAAGGCCTTTTTCAGAAACCCAAACACCGACGGCAATGGAGCCTGTGGACCATTCCGTACAGCTTGGAATCATTCATGACCTGCCAGGTAACTGGATGAGGCAGATGCTCGGAGTAACATGCCGTGAGGACAGGCTCACCCGCACTTGACACCACCTGTTGAGGCCTTGCAGCTCTCAAGCTGACAAGAAGAAAAACGTCAAGAGACTTATGAGAGAGCAGCTCATGATGCTAGAGATTCGGCCAGCCTCCTTCATTCCACTGCCTCCAACCTCACCAAATCGCAGGATGATGTAGTCGTGTAGTGGCGGTGGATCACTTTGGGTGAGGAGGTTGGCAGCTTTTGCCTTCCTGTTGTCCTCAGTGTGTCAGGTGCCGACATATGAGATGTTACAAGTTTTGGGTTCAGGGCATTGGATGATCGAAGCAAGAGCTGTCAGCAAGGAGAGCGTGCAATACGACACGGTGGACGAGTAACAATGCAAAGGGCACACGAGAACTGCAGCAAGCGGGCCTGCCGAATTTACAATGTTAGGCAAGCCGCGACGGAAGAGTTGCAGGTGGGGATGCAAACCATTCCAAACCCAGTCTCCTCGCGACTAGACCCTCCAACCTCGCTAGCCAACCAGCAGTCGCAGAAACAGCGTCAAACCCAGTTTCACTTGAGCAATACGTGTAAAATCGGTACACCGTAAGAAGCGGAAGAAGCACGTGTAGAAGGAAAGCTGACGATAGGATCCGATGGTTGCACACGCCCCGGCCATACACGCAAATCTTCCCACTGAAAGTCGCCCGCCCTTTACCCCAAAGCCCAAAAATCCGAAACTGCGAGACCCTAAATCCAAACAAGAAGCAGTGCTCATCGTCTTGACACTGGCTGCCAAACCTATGCGGGTCTGAGTGGAAACTGAAACTGGCAGTCACGCCGGGAAATGGGTCTTATGCTTGTCATACTCGAGCCTGCAGAACTGGATCTGTGACTTGGGGCTTAGCGTAAGCCTCACCTGGAACCGCCAAGGGCGGAGAACTTAACGTCAGTGCCAACGGTCTCAAGTTGCGGAAATAATTAGTGGGTCAGTGGGTTACACGGCAACTTATTATCCAGCCGGAGCCGTTTAGGAACCTAAGGAATCCACATGAAGACACGTCTTTTGGTTGCGCCTGCGGCTTTGTGGCTGAGAGTGCAGTGCCACCCCGCTGGCTTCAGCATCACCATGAAGTGCCTGGCTTTCAACTCGATAGGAGAACACAGTACTGGTCCCATCAGTTGCTACTAGAAGCCGCGAAACGATTAAGATGATAGGTTACAAGGATTAGAGCTCAAAACCAAGCACGAGCATTCAAAAGACACAGTCCATCCTCAAGTCGAGGCCGAGAAGCGCATCTTCGTACAGGAACTTCGGCTCCGTCCGCAGCGCCCTGCTTGGGACTCCGGTCATCATAAAAAAATGGACTCCTAAGCAAAACCAATGCTGCACAGCCCCTAAACCGAAACCCGAAAAAGCCGAACTTCAACTACAAGCCACTCGAGGAGAACATGGTTGCTCCTGGACCCTGGTGCGCTGGACTGCTGCAGCCAATCTTTCCGGCAGGTCAGCGACCGTGGGGCCCTTGATGAACGAGGTGACAGGGATGAGTGATGGTGCAAGGCTTAGGGTTTGGCCTTTTGCTTGTGACACGTGCCCATCGTTACACATCGTAGAGTTCAGCTCAGTGTGACCGCATGACCACACAGTGACGTCTCTGTCTATGCTTGTCGGGCATTCCGATCGTCGCGAACCGGGCTGCTGGAAGATCCTGTGAGCGCTGCGGCCGGCGGCAGCCAACCCCGCCTTCGTCTGAGACTGTGGTGAAATTTCGTGCTTGAACAGGCCGAATCTGCGCTTTGCCAACCAGTTTGCAAAAGCGAGATCGCGATACTCGCGAGACCCCTCATCTACAAGCCTAGGCCCACAAGAATTATTAAGGATTGGCCAGCCATCAGGCTTCAGAACCTCTAAGCCCCGCAAAGCGACGCTTCCACGCTGCCTGGAGAACCTTCGAATCTGGTGGCGACTGGTCTGGCGCGCGCAGGCAAAGGTGCAGCGCAACCTGGGTTGCTGGTAAGTTATCGTGGATGCTTGGTTCTTGAAATCTCAAATCTCTGTAATCAAGATCCGTACAGGAACCGGCTCTCGGCTTAGCCCCGTGTCATCTTCCGACAGACACTCACAGACTCGAAACATAAAGTTGTAATGATGAACCAATGCACAGCAGAATCAAACAGCAAAGGCTGATGCACTATGTCCAAAGCAAAAGCAGAACTTGCCGCCGGCGCCCGGCCACCAACAACAACACCACCACGACGGCAACAACAACTACTGCTGCTGCTGCTACTACTACTACTACAACTACTACTTACTACTACTGCTACTGCTGCTGCTACTACTACTACTACCACTAGTTCTCCTACTACTACTACTACTACTACTACTACCACTACTAGTCCTACTACTACTCCTACTACTACTACTACTACTACTGCTACTATGCTACTACTACTGCAACACCAAGAGTAGAACCAAAAGCATGACAGTAACGATCGAAGCACTTTGACACACGATCGGCGTTTAACCCCTTGCTCGCCAAGCAGCATTGTGTTTTCTGTCGTCCATCTTCATCTGCTTTACACATTGGCAGGTCCACTGTGAGCAATGTTTGCCTACTAGGCAGATAGCACAGCCCAACTCGCGCAAATGGCAGTCGAGGAAATCTTGCAGGTCCTCATCGTTGATGTTGTTGTTGTCAAGCTGTAGCCACAGGGGTATGAACGACGCTTTCCCGTGCAGGCTGGTCTCCAAAGGATACATTGGATGAAGCGACAGCATCGTCAGCAGCTTGAACACCCCAAGAATGCTGATTTGATTCGAAGAAAAGTGCAGCGCAGTTACTGGAGCGGACTCCGAAGTAATGTATTGGGCAATCCGATACCTAAGCTCTTGAATAGACGGTGGACGAAACACAAACAGTACATCCTTGGCAGAAGTTGCACAAAAACTAACCGCTTTGCTTCTTTGGGAGCGCAGATACAGGCCTTCGTCGTCTACTTCGTTGTGGTTGAATTTCATCTCGTCCACACGGACAAAGTGCTCTTCCAGGAATGCACAGATGGAACGAATGCCGCGGCTACTCAGCCTGACTTGCCACACAACCAAACAAAGTCAGCTCTAAGCTGAAGGAATAGATCAAGAAAACACCAAATCCTGCTCTAAAGCCATAACCGCAAAGCCGGGTACTTAGGTGTTGCACTCGAGACAAGTGAGTTCAAGGTTCCTGGCTCACTGCATCACAAATTTGGAGCTGGGCCGTACGAGGGTGCACAAAACTCGAAAATCCAGCATGAAGCTCAGGAGCTGGTTGTTTGATAGGTCCAACATTGGAAGGCTCACGCTTTGCAGGTTCGTCTGCTTCAGCTCAGGGTGACCTCTCACTTGGGGTATTCGGATTCCGTAGCTAAGGGTCCAGACAAAGGCTTGCAATTGATTACGACAACGTGCTCACCGGCAAGTAAGACGGGATGGAACCACCTCAATACAGGCCAGCCTTGACCCTGAGAATGCAAGATCTGGCAAGACCACTTCTTGAGGTTTGACTTCGGCTTTGTGGGTAATCTCACTTTGGGATGCCACGCGCTTTTACAGGACGCTCATGGGCCCAACAGCACAAAGCTATGAAGCAAATTCCTGAGCCCTTGGAGATCCCAAGTTCCACGGCTCCTCGCAGCCATGCCAGCCAGTCAGCCACATCATCGTCTGTAAGCTCTGTGTTGGCCAGCTCGGCGGTGATTGTAGCTTCACCATAGGAAGCCTCCGCGGTCTACCGCAAACCCCGCCGGCCCATCAAGGACATGCCTTTGGAGATTGAACCAGTGGCACAGCTAGTCTTGATTAATGGCTATGGCCCTGATCACAAAATCCCACGCAGCCAAGCAGCCTGTACATCACACACCCTTTTCCAGTAGTGTGTCTTCCTGGGTTGAGCTTTCGGTCAGGAGCCAATCATAGTTCGAAACAGTGCGCAGTCACCTGGTGTTAATATTGACACAGCTATGATCAAGAGCCACTTTGAGGAATTCGTCCCAAACGGCCCAGATCCGAGTGACTTGCATCTCGCCGGCCTCCTTCGCCGGGGGAGCCCGCAATCTGAAGTCTTACGCTTGCACCCCTGACCCAAAGCCCGCCCGAAATCGTAGGCTTGCATCGTCTGAAGCCAAGGTTCAGCCTCTCTCGCAGCAACTTTGGCTCGGAGGGGACTGGGTCAGATGCCTCGACAAGTGAGCCACAAGCCTGTGCTTTTCTTCATGATCAATGATCAAGGAGCAGCATGTTAGGGTCTGCAAGATGCGCCGCAAAGTAAAATCATTGCCCACACTTCTGCATGGCTTGATTCAGGTGTTGTTTAGGGTCCTGCGGTGCTCGCTGGTGCACCAGCTGTCATTCAAGATGGCTGGCGACGATTTCATACAGTGTGGAAGACTTAGTGTGCCGCCCTTGCCAACGGTTGTTGGGCGATGCCTTCAGAATGCGCGTTCAAACTGAAACTAAGCTTCCGATAGAACCCTGAAAAGCACACAACAGAACAGAACCCGAATTTCCCTTGTTAGAAATCTTCTCCCGCACACCTTCCGCTTCAGCGCGCGTCGTGCATCCTGCAGTTGAGCAGCTTCGGTAGGGAGTTCGGTCGGCGGATTGGACGACGATCTTGCTCTGAAGAAGGAACCGAAACACTGATCCCCAGAACGCTCCTCAAGCGAAACTTACAGATTTTTCAGAATCCGGGCTCAAAATTAGTCGTTGCATGAAAGGGCTGCAGAGCCGCAGAAGTTTGGGATTTGAATTTGTCGAGTCCCAGCCTCGGCGGATGTCGCGGCAGGGCGATTTCCTTGGCTCGGACACGGGCTTTGACCTAAGAACGGTTCGTGAGGACTGAAGCACCTTCTCAGTTGGGTAGCTCCGCGCCTCCATCTAACTTTTCTCCGACACGGGTTTTTGCCCCGCAGCAAAACGGCCCAAGCATGACTACAGTACTACATTTCTTTGCCCAAGCTTCGGAGCTAACCAGGTAACCAAACTCAATTGACAAAGGTGGCAACGCGGTCTCAAACATCATAGTTCTTAATCAGGATGCGACGATTAAACGACGCAGGGGTTGGAACTTTGACAGACGGATGATACTGGTATCTTCTGGAAATCCCCAACCCAGATTTGACTGCAAGCACCGGCAATCAGAGCCATGAGGCCTCGAGGCGGTATGACTGATGACGTCGGCACGGCACCTCCAAATCCTGCAAAGGGAACGAACAGAGGCCCTGGGATGTCAGAGAGAAGGCTAACACTCTAGTCATCGAGCGAAGACTTCCGAGGCACAAACCCTTCACTGCGCCTGCCGTAAGCCAAGGCGTCTGGGTGGGACGACTGAGGATTCTGGCACAAATCAGGCTATTCAACACTTGCAAAATCCGGAAACGGAACCTTGCGAGTTTCAAGCGGGATGGCGTAATAATCGAGCAGATCCAAAAACTGGGGTCCTGGAGGCTAGGAGGGGTTTGGAAACTGTGGTTTTACGATTAAACTGGCAGCTGGCTGAGGACATTGGGTTGAAGACTCCGGCGTGGCTGGCTTACCAGTGAAGCGCTAAGAACTCTGGAGGCCCGCCCTCCGGCAAGCCTCGCGGTTTCACGACCACGGGCTCCTTTGCGGATGGACGAATGGAGCCTCGGAGCTGAGTTTGAGCCAAAGACCTAGGCAGGCCTGAGAGGGATCTGGAACTCGAAAGCTCCAGATCGAGGCTTGATCGCAGACTACAGTAGCCTGAAGCTGCAACGTCCTCGTGGTGGACCCACAAGTCTTGGTGCTTCCGGATTGCAAGCGGGGCTGCTGCAGTGTACCCCGGCTAATCCTGAACCGCAGCCTGGCGGCCTTGTTCCGCGGAAGGCTTTGTCTTCCGGCAGGGTGGTGCAACGCCAGGAAAAGTGCGACCTGTCTGGCAGGGAATTCACCGGCAATCGGCTCTTGCAGACAAAATGTAAGTTCCAATCCCAATCCGACGCCCTGCGGCCTCTCTAGTGACTCTGGTGCTTCCTTTTCGTGGCTTTGAACTGGACCCCCCAATCTTGACCGCTGAACTGAAGGCTGGAAAGATTTGGTGGCTAACTTTTGCAATCCGATGTATCTCGGCCTTTGGTCGAGGGATTCGCTCTGGGAATGGAAGCTGTTGTTCCAACGGAGCCTCAATGCGGCTGCGCTGGCATCAGGGCTGAACTACGGATGAACCCACTTGTGTCATGAGGCACCTCGACCGTTGGCCGCTGGATTGGCCTTGGGAATTGAAGCGGTCGCTGCCACGGCGCCTGTGGATGCTGCGTCAAATCAGGTTCGGGTCTCGGAGTTAAAGCCCCATGTCTCTTGAAAGACTCATAGTTGCAAACCGACAACTGCAGCTTTCTGCAGCCCATCAACATGAGTTTGGATTGCACTGAGGCCGAAGGTTGGTAGAATGGGTCAAAGATTCAAAAACCAAGCAAGCCGCATGCCCGTCCGCGGTTGAAAGTTGCTTGCATCCCAACAATGGCAGGCAGGCAGCGCTGGGCCTGGGTTCCGTGATTCTTGAGGTTCTGCGCCTCGTCCAAGATCATGCCGGCGAACTGCTGCTCCTTCAAGTCGCAAGAGTAGCCGAAATCCTGAACTCGTAAACCATCTGCAACCCTTAGACCATGAAGCTGGAATCAGGTTGAAGCTGTTGGCCTCATATCATTCGGATGACCCTGAAAGCCCAAAGCATATCTCAAGGACCTACCAAGTCGCCTACTTACAACCCTCAAACCACCCTAGGCGCAAGTAGCCTGGGCTAAGGAATGCTCGAACCATCTGAGATACTGACCACAAAGAGCATCTGTTGAAAGTATTGAAAAGCTGTAACCCAAACCGAACAACTTGGAAGCTGTCCTGCGAAACAATGAACCGTGAACGCGTGGCTACAAAGTGGAACCGCTCGAACAACAGGTAGGGGTACATGCGTCAGGGCTTTAGACTTCGGGGTTCATAACTCAATAACGGATGAGGCCCTGTGAAGGTTGCGGCGCCTAGACCGTTCACACACAATGCCTGTGAAAGACCGACCGGCAAGCCTTTTCGAAAGCTCTTCTTAGATTCGGCCTCTTCCGATTTCTAAAAATCGTTGGGATAAAGGTTCGGCTTCGATGGCTTCATGGACTCAAAGCTTAGAAAGCCGAGAACTAACAAATTCACGGCCTGGAGCAAGAACCTGATATGCGACAAGCGACAAGCGATATGTTTGTTTATGATAGGTGTCAGGCAGCCTATGGACAGGGAGAGGGAGGGAGTGGGAGAGAGAAGAGAGGGGGAGACAGAGGAGAGGGAGAGGGGAGGGGAGAGGGGGGAGAGGGGGGAGAGGGGGGGAGAGGGGGGAGAAGGGGAGAGGGGGGAGAGGGGGGAGGAGGGGGAGGGGGGAGAGGGGGGAGAGGGGGGGAGGGGGGGAGAGGGGGGAGAGGGGGGAGGGGGGAGAGGGGGGAGAGGGGGAGAGGGGGGAGAGGGGGGAGAGGGGGAGAGGGGGGGAGGGGGGGAGAGGGGGGGAGGGGGGGGGGGGAGAGGGGGGGGAGAGGGGGGAAAACTGAATGTTACACATCCAGGTGCCTGTCTGTTTCACGTATCACTTGCATGTATCCATGCCTGTTGCTCAAGGTTCTAGTGCAGTGGACTACAGCTGTGCGCCTGTAGCAAAAGAGACACCTGAGTGCCTGTGTTCCTGTACGCCTAGCGAGGGGATACACGTCCAGGTTACATCTCAACGTGGTAGCGGAGCTCCCGGGAAACGGGAAGCTTCACACTTGTGGAGGTACCCGTTCGGTACTCTCTACACAGGTGGAGGCAACCGGAATACCCGGTGTGCTTCACTCAGGTGAAGGTGACCGGAGTCTCTCCGGCACACTTCACTCAGGTGAAGATAACCGGAAGAGTTTTCTCCCGGGGCTCGATCCAAGAACAGCGCAATGGCTAGCCACTCTGCGACTATCTTTGAGCATGATGGAGGAGATGAAGATTACCTCCTTCACGGCAATGAATCTTTCGCGACTAATCATCGTCATCTCAATGAACTACACCGTCTTTCAGCTTTCCAGCAGGTGACCACCAAAGTACCTCCATCTTATGATGGTAGAAGTAGTTGGTTTGCCTACGAAGATGCGATCGATGACTGGTGTGACATTCCTGAGCTAGACAATGATAAGCGTGGACCAGCTTTGAGAAATCGGCTAGAAGGTGAAGCAGCTATCCACAAGAGGCTTCTCGACAGAGATCGCCTGAAGGACCCGAACAACGGAGTTAAGTACTTCAAGAGTTTTCTGCGGCCGCTTTTCGTGAAGGGAGCAGCGAATGTCTTTCTCTACCGCTTCCAGCAGTTCATGAACATGCACCGCGGGAATGGAGACATGCTTCGTTGGATTACCAGGTTTCAACTCTCTGTTCAGAAGATGCAAGAAGCGTGGAATGATACCTATCTGCCGATCGAGGACCCGAACAATGCAGAGGTCAGAGCTTTCATAGCAGGACTTCCTCCAGAAGAACAAGAAGGAATCACGCCGGCTCAGGCAATGGAGAGAGCCAACGAACGGCTCCGAGATCAGCATGCTCGGACCATTCCGATCACGGCCAACCTCGTCGCTTTGATCTTTGTCTCTCTGTCCGATCTTACGCAGGATCAGCGGCAGGTGTTGACATCGTTGATGGCGCATCGGAACCGAGTCTTAGCTGACTACAACACGACCGAGCTGCATGAAGTTTACCTTGAGATCTTCTGCACGACCAAGACTACCGTCGACAATCCTCTCCTCGCTCCTTCCGGCCACGGTGGCCGCAAGACGTTCCTCGTTATCGACGAAGGATATTTGGACAATCATGAAGGCTACTGGGTCGAGGACGAGGAGGATGGCACAGAAGGTTTCCTTGAAGCGGATGAGGACGCCTTCTGGGTCTACGACGATGACAACTACTCATGGTTCCAGCGGCGCTTCCAAGGCCGCAAGATGAGGCGCGGATTCAAGGGCCACCGCAAAGGCAAAGGAAAAGGTGGCAAAGGATCCAAAGGAAGGCGCTTCTTCAAAAGGAAGAAAGGCAGGTCCAATCTTGCCGAAGAATCAGAAGCATGGCAAGCAGAAGGACAATGGCAAGATTACCAGTGGAACGATCAGTCCTGGGATGACTGGTCCTGGTATGAGTCTGAGGAATCCTATGCAGCCAAAGGAAAAGGAAAGAAAGGAAAGAAGGGCAAAGGAAAGAGCAAGTTTGGCAAGGATGGAAAAGATGGAAAGTCCGGAAAGGACGGCCAGAGCCAGCTTGCTGATGCTGCCCCCAGCGGCACCACAGCCGCCACAACCTTCTTCGTTGAACATCTCAACACTCCGAACCTTTCTTTCATGGCCACCGAAGAGAAGATCAATGAGATCGAAGAAGCCTTCATCTCTCAGCCCTTGACGCCGACCGCGATGGTGTTGGACTTGGGATGCACGAGAGCAATGGCTTCGAGAGGCCGCACAGGACCTCATGGAGTTCTGTGACAAGAACCAGAACTGTGGCATTTGGTACACGATAGCTGAGACCACTTCTCAGTTCACCTTTGCCAATTCCGAGTCGACCAAGTGCAACCAGAAGTTGGTCATTTGCATGTACGACCGGGATTATGCAGTTCAATCCACAGAGTTCGACATTGTGGAACAAGGACATGTTCCCATTCTCATGTCCTTACCTCAGATGCGCAATCTTCGTTTCCAGTTCGAGCTCCATCCGGAAAAGGCCTTGCTCAGCAGCCCTGTGCTGGGAATCAAGGATGTGAGGCTGAAGGTTGCACCGAGCTCACACCTGGTACTTGACCTTCTTGAACTCAGTCAGTTGATGTGGAATGTGCGTTTCAGCAAGCATAAGAAGTCGAGCTTCCTCACCTACTTCTCCCACTACGAGTACGGCTTCCATCAGAAGACCGAGGGATGCTCTTCTCAGGAAGAGGTACCCAAGAACTTCGTGTTGGCGACGGATGATGAGTGGGTGATCAATGAAGCCAACATGGAGATGATTCGCATCCACAAGAAGATGAGAAGGGTCAAGTACGAACCCAAGGCGGGTTTTGTGCCTATTCCGTTGGAGTATCTGGACGACAAGCGCAAGACGATCATGGAGTTCTCCAAGGGAAAGAATGTTACTCAAGAAGATGACTGGCGTTCTTCTGAGCTTTCTTCAACAAGAACTACTGACTCTTGGAAAGGCAAGACCATTTTCAAGATTCTGCCTGGTGGCATCGAGAGTAGAACCTCGGTGCCAGCTAAGTCCAAGGATCCAACCCTTGGCAAGGTAGGATCTCCAGAGGACATGGTTAGCACAGGTAAACCTGAAGACAGCTCGAAGAACACAGGAGCATCCGGAAGCTTTCCTCAGGGAAAGGTACCAGTATCGAGAAGGATTCGAGCCAAGGGAAGCTTTCCACAGGGAAAGGAACCCAAGGAATCGGCTCCTCCTCCTCTCGCTCCTGAAGATGATCCGGATCTTCAAGAGTACGAACCGTCCGAACCGGGGGATGCAGATTTGCTTCCTCCAAGGGCCCCAGAGCCACAGTCGCTAGAACCTAGGTGGATCGCGCTTCCATTGCCAGGCCACGAGGTCTCAAGGGCCTCTCCGCAGTATCAGCGCATGTTGGAAAAGCTGAACAATGATGTTGAGCTTTACAAGTTGCATGTGAAGCATTACCACATGAGTCCTGCTCAGTTTCGACGCAGGACCAGCATGCTTGGGCTGCCAGGAGAGATCTATGACAAGTACGACCGCATTGTCAAAGGCTGTCGTGTTTGTAGCACCTCCGTGCCTACGCCTCCGCGAGCCAGAATCGCAGGGTTGAGAGCATCATCCTTCGGTGATCTCATTTTTGTTGATCACGGAGAGATCAAGTTCGGTACTAAAGCCTACCTGGCTTTGGTCATCATTGACGGTGCTTCAAATCTCCTGTGGGCTACGGCTCTCACAAGCCTGGAAGCGCCAGAGACTCTGGGAGCTTTTCGACAATGGACAGAGGAGAACAACTGCGTTCCTAAGGGAATCGTAGGAGATCAAGCATTTTTCACGCCACAGTTCATGTCCTATTACAAGTTTCATGGCATTACTCCATATCCGTGTGGACCACGGACTCCTTGGCCTAATCGAGCTGAGACCGCTGTGCGTCTTTTCAAGCGCACATGGGCCATTATGGCCAAGGCCTTAGCTGATGAAGGTTACGCAGAGAAGGTGACTGTTCGTCAAGCAGTTAAAAAGGTGGCTTGGGCAAGGAATTGCCAGCTTACCGTCTCGAGCTACTCTCCTTTGGAGATAGCCACAGGAAGACGGCCACCAGACTTGTTTGATGTGGAGAACAGTTCTCCTGAACAGCTCTCTGCTGATCCTGCTGAGGAGGATCGTACTACTCTGGAACTCCAGAGGATTGCCATGCGAGCTCATCAGGAGGCCAGACAGTCGCTTGATCTTCGAAAGGACCTTGCGCGCAGAGTGATGCCATCAGATGGTCCGTATTCGAAGGGTGATCGCGTGTTTGTTTGGCATAAGTAAGGATGAGTCGAAGAAGAAGTCTGAAGGAACCTGG